AACATTACTTGACAAATAATCCCAACAGCCCCCAAGCCTTATCTGAATCAAATCCCAGTTTTCCTCCTAGGACTCAACTATCTTGATACGGCTTTCCTTAAATTCAGGACCCTAACCCATTAAGACACCCTGACAAATTTTAACTTCCCATATAAATTATGAAACAAGGTTATTAACCTCATTAATTGCTCCAGCAAACCTGTTTTACAGAAAGTCCCCTTTAACAGCCTACTAAGAACAATCCCCAGAAACTTGTCAAGTGTATTTTTCTCATACATTGTAGAATCATTTGCGCCTAAATACCTTGCCTCCGGAAGCACAGAGGGATCCATCTGGAGAGACCGTCACAGTGTTCAGGTAGCCTGTGTGGCCGATGTGGTTGGTTTTCAGTTTGCAATTAGCCAAGTTCCACACCTAAGTTGAGAGAAAAGAGTTGATAGAAGTGGGAGCTTAGGTCCAGATCAGCCTTGTAGAAGGACTGCTTCAGCACGTCTAAACTATGTGGTTTTCCAGCCGCTTGAAAACACTGCAGACCAAACAGCAAAACCTAAGGGCCTGGAACTACAAAGTAGCACAAGGGAAAATTGACTGAGGGTGCAACTTCACCACAGAATGTGGTGCTTGTGCTCACTTCCTGAGACAGAACCTCTAAGTCAGAGCACCCCTAGTGATGTGAGCAAAAGGACCCACTTCTAATATGGTAACAATCCAGTCAAACAGGCAGAAAAACCCAGGTTTCATATCCCTTTGGGGACTTGGGAAGAAGCTCCACTTGGGAAATATTCGAGGCTGCATCCTAATGAAATAGCAACCCACAGTGCATTCGGAACCATCTTAATAAATTATGAAGAAGGGGTCTGCCAAGCTTTTAAAGTTGCACCCCGTGACCCTCTGGATGCAGAGCACTTTCTCCCTGGTAATGGCCTTGTGGCCCTGGCACCAAGCTCACTCACCTTGACCAACTTGTCCCAGCCACAGGAGACGATGATGGGATTGCTGCTGTTGGGTGAAAAGCGCACACAGGACACCCATTCAGAGTGGCTCTCGTCCTACAGGAGACAGAAGGCAATGTCCTGTCCCACGAAAGTCTAGACAATCTCTCCAGGCACATAAGATGGATACTGACATTGAGGATATTCTATTTTCATCCAGGACCCTTTAGGCTGGATGAAAATACAAATACAGCTCCCCACCCCCACCCCACACACACCCTTCATTTTACCTGGACGGTGTACTTGCAAACTCCCAGAGTATTCCACAGCTTGATGGTTTTATCTCGGGAGCCAGAGACAATCTGCCGGTTGTCAGAGGAGAAGGCCACACTCAGCACATCCTTGGTATGGCCTACAAAGCGGCGCGTGGTGGTGCCCCTAAGACGAAGGACTGGGTCACTCTCTAAATACACTTTGCTAAACCTCCCTTCCACACTTGCCATGTCTCTATGCCAGGATATTTGCTTCACTCCAATGAATCCTAACCATGTAGCGGACCCCAGCAAACTGAGTATCTGCCAGAGAATCCATTCAGAATTGCAGGACATGTCCTCACTCCCACACGGGGATCAGGTGACAATGTCGTCTGTCATCACTAGGATCCTGTCACTTGCCAGACCACCATGCAAGGCAGAGCTAGCTCTCAAGGCAACCATTTTCAAACTTTTAGGTACCTGACTGGATGAGAGATCCAGTCAAACAGTTCCTTTGGACTGCTCCCTAGTTTTTGTAACCCCATCGATTCAAGCCAGGACTCAGCCATTGCAGCAGTCAGCCCCTTTTCTACCCAGCTTTCCCCTCAAAGCCCCAAAGCCAAGAATAAGCAGGTACTTACGTTGTCAGATCCCAGAGACGTAGTGTTCCATCCCAGGAGCCTGAGAGCGCAAACTGGCCATCAGAAGAGATGACCACGTCACTCACAAAGTGAGAGTGACCACGCAGAGCACGTTGGGGAATGCCATAGTTGGTCTCATCCCTCGTGAGCTTCCACATGATGATGGTCTTATCTAAGGAAGGATAAGCAGAAATGGAAACCCACTGAGAACGCTGCTACCCGCTGCCATGGGTATCTAGACACCCACCTTTCAGGTCCCTTACTAACCTACTGGACAATGCAAAAGTTCAAGCTCACTGATGGGATTACGAGGTAGAAGATGAGAGAAAAGCAACTATCAGTTACCTATCAGGGCAAATT